ATCTCCCCAGGCGCTGGGGGACAGCCTAGCTAGCCTCATGATGGCATCCCTGTCTCCAGGCTTACAGCCCTTAAAACGGCAATTCTCAGCTCTGGCTGCAGAGTAGAATCATCTGGAGACTTTAAACACAATGTATGCCTGCAACCACTTTGCACATATGGATTCCCTGTGACCCAACAGTTCCACCCCTGGGTATATGTCCGTCAGGAAGGCACGCATGGGTCCACCACAGATGCACGCAGACTTTTCCCAGCAGCGCTAGTCAAACTTCAACAAGCAAATCAATATATGGTCTTATTGGGGGTGAATTATACTGGCAGAGGGTGGCAGAGGGGCCCAGGGTTCTGGTGATAATTCTGTTCCTTAAGCTGGATGCTGTTTACGTGGGTATGTTCACTTCATCACAATTTATCAGCTGCTCGCTTATGACTTGTACTTGTTTCTATATGTGTGTTCGCCTCATTGAAAAATTTGCTTTAAAATAGAACGAAAATTTCTGGGCCTCATCCCCAGAAATTTTGACTTAGTCTTGGATAGCACCTGGGTTCAGTATATTTTAAAAGCTCCCCAGGTGGCATTATTATACAGGGTTTGCAAACCACTGCCTGAGATGTATTCACCACAGTAGTCTGCAGAAATGAAATTCTGACCAAGCCACACACCCTGCTTTCAAATTCCCAAGGCCCACCCTCCCCAAAGAAGAGGCCAGGCCCCTTAGCACCAGACACCAGGCCTTCTGGGACCTGACCCCAGTCAACCTATCTGGCAGCTGCTCCACCCTCAGATTTGCACTTGGCAATCTAATAAGGAGTGAAGTTTCCTGCGCCGCCCATGCTGTCTCAGCCTCTGAGTGTCTGCTGTCACTCACCCCTTACCCCAAACTGCCCTTCCAACCTGCCTCTTACCCACATCACCACTCAACTCTGGTGCCAGCTCCCACAGGAAGCCTTCTCTGAATCCCCAGAGCAGTCTAGAGGCCCACCCGACCCCACTGTACCCTGGCCTGGACCTGTCATTTGGCTCTTCATCGGTGCAAATGACTTCAGAAAGATGGGTTCGAGGAAAAACAGCCCCGTTTGTGTGGCCAGCCCCAGGCCTCCTGCCCCTGCACTTCTCCACTCCAATCTCTGCTCCACCCACCCACTCTCGCTCAACCACCAGTTATTGGGCACCACTATGTGGTGGGCACTGCTCCACGCGCTGGGGACGCAGCAATCAAAAAGAAAGAATGGCCCTGTTCTCATGGAGCCTACAGTCTAGTTGGGAACAGACAAATAACAAACAAACGAACAAGGTAATTTCTGACCACATTCAGGGCTTAAAAAAAATAAAGCAGGGAACTATGAGAGAGAGTAATGGTGGGTGAGAAGCAGGCCTCACTGAAGAAGTGGCCTGTGAACTGAGAGAGGCTGCCAGGCATGCAGAGGGCTGGGCCAAACTGCTCCAGGCAGAGGAGGTAGGACCTGTGTGGGCCTGGAGTCAGGGATGAGCTTGAAGCTTCTGAGAACATAAAGGCCAGTGTAACTGGAGGGAGGGAGCAGGGTCAGAGAGGTGAGCAGGGCCTGGTCCTTGGATGGCTCTCCAGCTGTATGAACCCGTTTACCCTCTGGCTGTTGAGTAGCGATGGACTAGCAGGAAGCAAGCGTGGAATTGGAAAGACCATTAAGGGGCTGCTGGAGTCCAGGTGGGAGATGAAGCTGGCTGGAATCAGGGTGGTAGCATGGAGGAGGAGTGTTTTAGACTGACTGATGGATGAGGAAAAAGAGGAATAAAGGATGACTCCTTAGTTTGAGGTTAAGGAGATTGAGTGGATGGTTGAGGTAGTAGAAGGAAGAAGGATTGGTGGGGGGCGGGAAACTCCAAGTTCTTTGTTGGACGTGGTAAGTTAGAGATGCCTTCCAGATACTCACCTGGTGTTATCAGGTAAGCTGTTAAATATCTGAGTCTGGAGCTCAGAGAGTTGGTCAAGGATGGAGATTTAGGGGGGGAATGTGGGTGTCATTAGCATAGAGGTGGTATTCAAAACCACAGGTTTAACTGAGAGCCCTAGAGAAAGAATAGGTGGGAAAGAGTATAGGACCAACTGTTAAGCCCTAGGACATTCATTCCAACCTTTGATACCAGCAATAGAGGAAGATGAGGAGGGGGAGGGGGAAGGAAACAAGTAGAGCATGATCTCCAGGGAGCCAGAGAAGTGAGTGGCCTGAAAGGGAGGCATCAACTTTGACAAATGCTGCTGAAAAGTCAAACAAGACAAAGACACACACAGAAAGGTGACCATTGGACCTGGCAATGCAGAGGCCATTGGTGACTCTGACAGAGCTTCAGCCAATGAGGAGACTGGAGACCCATTGGAATGGGTGTCAGAGAAAAGGGGAGACCAGGAAGTACAGCCAGTGATTACAAACAACTCTCCCTAGAGTTATGAGAAGTAATGTCAAAGGTCGCTGGAGGGGATGTGGGATCGAGGGGAGGGCAGTTAAATGATGGGAGACAGAATAGTTTGTGCTCTGATAGCAGGGAACCAGTAAAAAGGGAGAAACTCAATCACCAAACCCAAATCATCACTACCTTCCTCTGCACCACTTAGTTCCTGGGTCCCTGGGACATCATTGGGAATCATCCAACCTGGCCTTCAGCATTCGTCTCTCTCCAGGTGGTTCCGTTACAATAGCACTAAGTAGAAATAATACTCTCTTATATATGTAAGTCGACTCCTGTTCACATGGGCTTTCATTTCATCTTCTCGTTTGATGCTCACAACAACCCAATGTGGAGTTGTCAGGACAGGGTTTAATGCCCTGCCCCTAACCTTGGGACAGTTCAGGAGCCAGCCTAGCCTCCTACAGGCCGTTATCAGCAGAGCCAGGACCCCAGCGGATGACCCTGCTGTGCTCTGTCCAGTCGCCATGCGGGCGCCAGAGCAGCCCTTCCTCCTCTAACTGTGTTGCTAAGGAACAGGTATAAAGGCTTTAAGTCAACAAAAAAACAAGACCATGAGCCAGGTGTGGTCATTAGCTGGCACAGAGTACTTCCACTTACCTCATAGGCAATACCTGGAGTCAGGAGCTGCTGAGGTCAGGAACAGGCAGGGACAGATGATCAGATGGTGGAGGCCAGAAGTTCAGGACAGTTCGAATAGGTGTTCATCCTTCTTGGGACTGGCTACATGTCAGGGGGCAGGCCACTGGCTGAAGGTGCAGGGAGGAAGCGGTCCAGCAGCTTGCAGCTCATCCTCAGAGGGTCCCAGGGTCAAAAGTATTCAGGAGAACCTCTCTGAACCACAGCTGCTCCCAGAAATGTTGTGAGTAAACCTTTTTATCTATGAAGAAAACATACAAAAATACAAAAATGCTCAAGTGAGAAAACCCAATTTCTTAAGGTTGACAAGCCGAGTATAGTAATGGTGTCATGGTAACCAATGTGTTTTCCAAGTTTTCCTGAAGTTGACTAGCCAGCCCCACACACTTAAAGAAGTTGGCAAATACGATGATCACCGTTTTATAAATTGAAAATGCAGAATGTCTGCAATCACAGCCACCCACAAGGGAAGCAGGAAATGGAGGTGCTGGGCCCTGACTTCCACTCAATGTGGCCTCTGGACCGGTCAGTCTCTCTTGGGCCTCAGTAAATCCAGGACACAGACTCGGGGGCCCACCCTGCTCTGGTGGGCCTGTCACTCTGTGAGGGAGAGTCAGGTCCAGCTCTGGCCCCGGGGCTGCTGGTATCTGCTGTGGGTCTTGCTTCTTAGCTGGTTTCAGTTTTGCAAAGAGAAGGAGTCTAGTGTGAGAGACCCCTCCCCACAGAGTGGTCTCCCAGCTTCGGAGGAATCAGGATTTCTTTTCTCTCATCAGCTGGAACCAGTGGGCCATAAGACGACCTCCAACAACTTCACCTACAGCCGAACCAAACTCAAGTGTCCCTCTCCTGTGAGTAAAGGTCCCACCTGCCCAGCGTGGGACAGGTGTCTGGGGTGGGGGTGGGGGCGATATAGCCACCGGGAGACACACAAATCCCCTGGGAGGCTTTGGCATCGTGCACTTCATTCACTGCCACCATTCTCACATCTCGCCTCTCCGCATTATCCCAGACACCTTGCAGCTTCTCAGTGTGCGGGCAGCCATGGGTGAGGGGCGGAGAAAGCAAGAGGTCCCTACTGAAGTGGGAAGAGGCACTCAGGAGAGGCAGGCAGGACTGGCAGAAGCTTGAGTCACCCTCTACCCTGAGGGGTCTGAGTCATGCTCTGTCTTAAACCAGGTGGAGGAGCTCTCCCA